CTGTGTGCAAAAGGCTTCTAATGTTTACTATAAGTCTACAACATTTTGTAAATATACACTTAAAATATTAAAAGTTATTAGTACATAAACTATAAAGAGGTTATGGTTATGAGGTCAGTCCCAGGGACCAAGCCCATGTCGAAAGGGTTAACAGGTTGCAATTTTTGTATCTGAATCATTTGAATCTTACTACTGTTTAAAGATGCTTTTCAACAAAGATCACCTCAACAATTTGACATGAATTTTTTAAAAAGGTCTTGCTTCTTCCACCATTGCTTTATATAAAGCTTCCTTAGCAACAATTTTTCGATGTTCTAAATATCATAAGGTTTTGACTCCCCTATATTATCCCATCTCTTATGTTCCTTTCATGTTCTTCGACCCAAACAACCTTTTCAACTACCTAATTAGGACTTTTGGGTTGTTTTACATGTTTATCATGTCATCCCTTCAAACCCATAGCCTCCTGTTCATTATATTGCCTTTCCCTCAAAGTTGATTTTTTATTGATGTTAGCTTCAGGATGCCATCATTCTGATTTATCTGCCATTTATGTTCAGCGGACTCTCTATCATTCTACCTATTTTTTGCTCTATCTGATCGTTTATTCCAAAAACTCTCACTGCCAGAGAAGGAAACAAATATTTTGCTCCTGTTCATTTACCTGGCATTTCTCATCTTTCCAGTAGATCAGACCCAGATTGTTTGATATGTCCCGTCAGGGCACTCGGATATTATGTGGTTTGTACAGAACCATTTCAAGGCCCTAGGAACAGTCTTTTTTTATTCATTGGGATCCTGCAGTCTCCAAGGATTTATCACCTGTTACTTTAACCAGATGACTTTGGAAGTTGATCCATATTGCCTATTCGGGCTTATCTGTTAATGATCGCAATATGCTCCACGTCACCTCTCACCAGATTCGACACCTATCGATGTCTTTGGCAGCCCTGTTGAACTGTTCTATAGAACATATTTTGTGGGCCTGTATGTGGACTTTCCCCGACACGTTCATATCTCATTGCCTTCACACTCTGGCAGTTTCCACACCCAGTTCCCAGTCGCTGGGGTGGTGGACAAAGGATTTTCCTTTGGAGCGTTGAGTTTCCCACCTCCCGGAGAAGAGGGCGAAGTTGGGGACCCTCCTACCTGGGTCCCTGGAAGTTTTTTCCCAGATGTTGGTAGGAGCAGGACCAACCTACACGTAAAACCAGTCCAGATATGACACTTAGCTATCCAGTGGTTCGGG